ATGAGATTAAATGCACAATATAGCTTGCCCCTCATGAGGGCTGAAGAACACTCATAGCTGAAGAACAGTTATAGAAGTAGTTGCCTATCTTTTTTAAAAAGAAGAAAGACCTGAAATCAAGGTTCAACTAAACTTTTCATTTTAGGCACTGAAGAAAGAGAAGTTAACAAAAATCAAGCAGAAAGAAGGAAATAATAAGCATTTGAGTGGGCATGAATCAATTAAAGAATAAAAAAACACTAGAGCAAGATGAATTAAAACAAAAATAATTTCTTTGAAAAGATCAACAATATTGACAAATATTTGAGCAAGCCTGGCCACACAAAAGGTTATATTCACATGACTAAAATCAGAGATGAAATAGTGAATATTGTACTGACCTGACAAAAAATAAAAAGGGATACAAGATAATACTTATGTCTACAATACTTGATGGGAGGTTTGACAGTGTAAAGTAAATAAACAAAGTTCTAGAAAGCCAAATTATCAAATATTTTTCAAGAAGAATTAGAAAATCTGCATAATTAAGAATAAGGAAAGATGGTAAATAAATAATCAAAAAAGTATCGTTAGCCCCAGATTCTCTCACAGGTAAAATTTTACTGCATGTTCAAAGAAGAATCAACACTAATTCTCAAGCTTTTCCAAAACATGAAGGAGGAGAAACACATTCTAACTCAAACAATAAAGTGGTTTTCCCTGATAGCAAAAGCAGACAAAGACATCATAAGAAAAGGGAACCACAGACCAAAATCTCTATTGAATTTAGATGTGAAATTCTTCAACACAATGCTGCCAAACCAAATCCAGCAATGCATAAAAATGATTTCACACTATGATCAAGTGGGATTTATCTCAGGACACAAGGTTAGTTTAGCATCTGAAAATCAATTAATGTAATGCACCATATCAGCAGAGTAAAAGACAAAAGCATGATTATCCCAATAAAGAGAAAGGAAACAAAAGGAAAAAAAATCAAGTTAAAACCTTTCACGAGAGAAACACTTTAACCATTTAGGAATAGAGAAGAACTTCCTCAACCAGATAAAAGCTATCTATGAAAAATTCATAGCTGACATGATACCTGATGGTGGAAGACTGAACATTTTCCCCCTGAGGTAGGAATGAAATAAGGATGTGGGATCTCACTGCTTCTATTCAACATATCCTAGAGGTTTTGCCAGAGAACTAGGCAAGAAGTTAAATGGAAGGCAATCAAATAAAGTATTGGTATCAGCAAGGTTGCAGAATACAAGATCAATCTACAAAAATCAATTGTGCCGAGCGTGGTGGCACAAACCTATAATCCCAGTGGTTTCAGGAGGCTGAGGCAAGAGGATTTCGAGATCAAAGGCAGCCTCAGCAATGGTGAGGCACTAAGCAAATCAGTGAGATTCTGTCTCTAAATAAAATACAAATAGGGCTGGAGATGTGGCTCAGTGATCAAGTGATCCTGAGTTCAATCCCAGTACGGAAAAAAAAAAAAGAGAGAGAGAAAAAAAAAATCAAGTGTATGTCTATATGCTATAATGAATCATATCTCTAAAATGAAACTAAGAAAACAATGTCATTTACAATAATAAAAACTGTAAAACACTTCACAATTTAACAAAAGTAATATAAGACCTGAGATCTAAAAACTAAACAAAAAAATTATTGAAAGAAATTAAAGAACTAAACAGATGTAAAAGATGTTTATAGATTGGATTATTTAATATAAGATATCAATATTTCTAAAATTGACTTATAAACTCAACACAATCACAGTCAAAGTCCCATCTGGCTTCCTTACAGAAATTTACACACCAATCCTAAAACACATATGGTAATGCAGAAATTCAGAATAACCAAAATAACCTGATTAAGAACAACAAAGTTGGAGACCTCATATGTCCCAACATCAAAACTTATTTCAAAACTGTAATAATCAAAATAGTATGGTACTTATAAGGCTAGACATAGATTAATAAAGTAAAATTTAGATTTAGACTTCAGACATAAACCCATACATTTTAATTAATTATTATATATTTTTTAAAGATTGCCATGAACAGTTCAATAGGAAAAGAATAATCATTTTAACAAATGGTTCTGGGATATCCGAATATCCACAGTGAAAAGAATGAAGTTGGATTCCTTCCTTACATTATACACAAAAGTCAACTCAAAATGGATCACAGCACTAATTGTCAGAGCCCAAAATTCTCAGTGCAAATCTTTATGACCTTAGGTTGGTCAAAACCTTCTTAGATATTGCATGAAAACACAAATGACAAAAGAAAAAAATACATCATTGATCTTCATCAAACTTAAAAATATGCTTCAAAGTATTTGAAGAAAATGAAAATGCAAACCACAAAATGAGAGAAAATATTTTCTAATCATATATCTGATAAGAGATGGGTTCTCAGACTATCTAAGGACTTTCTACAATTCATCTTAATAGAAAGATGATGACCTAATTAAAATAGGATCTGAGTACTACCTTCTTTAAAGAAGATACAAAATTGGTCAATGAGAACCTCAAGAATAGATGCTCAACATCAATATCAGGGAAATTCAAATCAAAACCATACTGAGATATCACTTCACATCATCCATTAGGATGACTCTAACTGAAGATCAAAACAAAAAATATGGGAGTTAAAAAGTGTTGATGAGAATGTGGAGAGATAGAGACACTTGTGCATTGCTAGTTATGAAGGTAAAATGATGTAGCTGCTGTGGAAACAGTATAGTGTTTCCTTGGGATTAAAACAAAGAATGAACATTTGACTTAGGCATCCTATTTCTGAGTATATGTATAGAAAAATCCAAAAGCAGGAACTTGAACAGTTATCTGTATATCATTGTTCATAGCAGCATTCTTGGCAACATCCATCCAAAAGTTTGAAAGAGACCTAAGAGCAGTTAACAGGTGAGTGAGTAAACAAAACAAGGTATTTGCATACAACAGAATATTATTTATTCATAAAAAGTAGTGAGGTATTGATACATGCTAGAGTGTGACTGAGTTTTCTAAAGGAGTCATATAAAATGCTATATGTTGTATGACTGTATATAGTGTATTTTGGTATGATTCTCTTGTGAATGAATGGGCAAAACTGTAGAGACCGAAAACAGACTAGTGGTTTCTATAGGTGTAGGTAGGGGAAAACTGGGAGTGACTGCTATCAGGTGTTGAGTTTCTTTTTGAGAAGAGAAAAATGTTCTAAATTGATTGTTGTGACGGTTGCACAACTCTGTTCATTTGCTGACCTCCACTAAATCGTACATTTGCGATGGGGATGGTGCTTATTTTATGTTATTTAATCTACGACTAAATAAAGAAGATCCTAGACCCCTGAGACATGACCGAGTCTCCCACCCTTACACACAGACACGATCCACTTCTTCAGGCTGGTGAGAGATTGGTAGGAAAAAGGAAAACGTGAGAGTTTTGTGATGGGCAAGGGAAAAGTATGAGAGAGCAGTTTCCCTTTCACTGTTCTCTTGGCAGACTATCTGGAAACGTGTGAAGTCATAATGCCACTAGACTACACAGGAAGAGGCAGGGCAGTGTGGGTGTGCAAGCAGAGAAAAGTCTTAGGAGGGCACCCACCTAGGATCCCGCCACCTGTCAGACATGTATACAGGCTGTTATGGTTTTGGACTGAAATGTGACCCAAAGGCTCATGTGTTGAAGACTTGTTCCCCAGCTGATGACACAGTTGGAAAACATAGGCCACTGGGTGCAAGCCCCAGACAGGGATATCTGGTCTCTTTTCTCCTTCTCTCTTCTTCCCATGTCACCCTGAGTTGAGCAGCTTTGTGCTACCCCACACTCCTTGCCATGCTGTTCTGCCTCATCTGAAGCCCAAGGTATGGGGCCAAGTGACTATGGACGAAAACCTCTGAAACTGTGGGCCAAGATGAATCTTTTCTTCCTTTAAGTTATTTTTTCTCAGGCTCATTGTCACAGTGATGGAAAGCTGAGTAACACACATGGGGAGATGGAAAAAAATCCCAAACAGCAGAGGGACCAAAGTAACATAGAGAATGCAAAGAGACTGGAATTATGGAAAAGGAGGGTTTCACAGACCTCAAGACTAGAGACTATGACAAGGACAATGGGTTTCCACAATAAACGACTGCAAACTAAATGGAACAGATTTATCGATTGCCAATGTGAGGGTCACAGAGGGTGACAATTACAGACCAAAGGGGACAAGGAACTGCATGCCTCAGGAGGAATTTGTATTTGCTGTTTGCTATAGGAATAATCATGGTGCTAAGCAAGTTTATTTCTGCGTTTAAGTAGCATTCTGAAGATAAGGAGAGAATAATAATCTTAGGAATAAGAAACATCCCTCTTAGAAAATTTACATTTTAAGTTGACTGAGTTTAAATTCTGAAACACTGAGATTTTACCCAAAGAATCTGAATGCACCTGGAAGAAACTAACTTTTAAACCAGAAGAGACTAAGCTATCATAACTACTTAAGATTAATTTTCCTTTTCCTGCATTTAAGTGAAAATGGTTGTTGCTAAGCCCTGGAGAAAAATAGAGAAAGTGACATTTCCTTGCTACTGCATCAAAATGAATGAACTTTAAACTGCCTGCCATCTGTTATGGAAACAGAATTCACAAGGAACAGTCATGAGGTGACATCCTCATGACCAAGAAAACAGTAAAATAGAGCATGAATTATCAGGCTAAAGTTGGAAGATCAGTGTGAAAGAGTGAAAAGGAATGGATTGAAAGTCCGCATGTTTGGAATTGAGTTTGGTGATGCCACTAACTAGTTAGACATTACTTAATATCTTTTGGAAATCATTTATCCTTAAGGCAGTTGAGTTAGACTAAATCTTAGGTTTTGGACACCCAGTGGGAAAAAGTATGACTCATCTTGGCCAAATTTCAAGGGGAATTGTCTTTTAGTTGATGGAACCCTCTTCTCTTTCCTTGGCCAGAACGTTAAAAGCTGGGCTAAGGGCAGCTAAATATAAAGTTTGATTACCTGAGAGGTGATGTCGGCTCTTACTTTTGCAGTCACATTTTTCAATTAGCTCAGGATTATACACATCACTGTGACAGGTGGCACAGTAAAATAAGGCTCTGGACAATGAAAGCAAATCAAGAATGACTTATGTGAGGCTTCACACTAGGAAGCTATGGTGTACTGATTCAGCCTGCCTCATTATGTTGTATTTGCTTTAGGCACCACCCACCCCCATAAGGTAATAAAAAAAAAATTACCTTTTGACTTCTTTTGGAGATTCAGCAATAAAGAATCCTAATGTATTCTTCCGTAGCTTAATTTGTGCAGGTGGATTTAGTATCAGACCACTGAAAATGGAAAACACAAATACAGTAACTTTTCCCTCTGACGTCTGAGGATGATTTTCTGTGGTATTTAATACTGTCATTACCAAGGGACTTCCTAAGTTTCTGAGTTAATAGGACTCAACCTTCTTTTTCTGCCAAACATATTGGAAAATGTGAATGTAATCCTTTGTTTGACTGCTACTAAATAAGCTGAGGGTACCATGCAACTACCTGACTATTAAGCTGCATATACAGCCACACTGAAGAAAAGTTCCTCCTGGGTTGTGTCATGAATCTAAGATGGTCCAACCCATTCAGACACGTGATGCTATGTCGACATGGCTATCAAACTGCCAATAAATCAGGACCTCATAGCTGCTCGTCTTATGGTGATGCTAGGGTTTTTTCATCCACAGGCCACACGTCTTTAAAATGGAATTCTACCTAATTAACCAGCTGGTTTCAAAAGTTCTGTTTATTTATCCATGCAGCTTTTGAAGTTAAACATTTTTTTTTTTTTACTTCTTCTTCTTTTTCTATTTTGTTTGCAAGGTTTTTGAGAGCGGGAACCATTCGAATTATGCCTATTCTACATTACTTAGACAATTTGATTCTCTATTTTCTTATTGCTTATATGGAAATTTTGTCTTATAAATTTGTATCTATGATACTGCTTGCCACAGTATTCTATTATAGTTTTTTTTTATTTTAACATTTTTTATTTATTCTAATTTGTTATATATGACAGTAGAATGCATTACAATTCGTATTACACATATATAGCACAATTTTTCATATCTCTGGTGGTACACAAAGTAGAGTCACAGCATTTATGTTATTGAGTTTCTCATATTTCTCCCTCTTTGTCTGGATGCTATGGGTGGGAGGGTTCTCTGAACTCATGTTAAATATCTAGCTACAAAGGTATTGTCACAATTCGAAAAAAGAGGTAAACTTTTTTGGACCTTTCCAAACCAGAGTTATTGCTTGATCTTCCCTACATGGCCAGTTGCTCTATTATAGAATATTTGCCACTGGAACAAACTCATTACATTGCCCGTCTAGGGTCAGATCAAACAATCTCTTAGCAGGTGACAAATTATTCCCTAAGACAATGCCTTATGATAGTTCAGGGTATTTGCAAATTTTAGAGCACATTTAAGTGAATCAGTTATAAGTGAAAATGAATGAGGACAAAAGATAGGTTTCCCCTGGTATTTCAATACACTGGCCTGAGGCCCAGCTATTGAGATGTCTAGTCTTCTTTCTACCAATAGTGACTGAGGTGGATTTAGTACAGAATGGTGATCAGAAGCATAGTCCCTGGAGCCAGATTGTATGCATTCAGAACCTGGCTTTGCCACTTGAGAGTTGTGTGAACTTGGAAAAGTTAATTAATCTTTCTGAACAACCACAAAATGGAGCTAATAATTACACACATTGCACTGCATGATTAGAGGACATGAGAATGAATGTATCTAAAATGCCTATGATCATGAAACAGCAACCATGTGAGAGATTACTATAATCAATACATTCCAACCAAGCCAGGATTTAATCCTTTTGATTCACTTGACTTTCCAATGAGAAACTAAAGTGAAATCTATTGGAGCAGGTCCTTTTTCCATTAAGGTAGATGTGTAGTGGAGGTAAACAGCACCAGGACCTCTTTAATCTACGTGGAAATTGGCTGCCTGCGAAACATTCATGTTTCTGGTTTGTAATGTCCTAACAGTCATTTTAATAAAGCTTAAAGAAACCTAGAGTGTTAGAGTTGGAAATGATACAAACAGCATGTGGTCCAAAGGCCAATTTCCAGAGGCTGGTGAATTATCTGTAGAAATTATAGAGATTTTAAAAATGTCTAAGGTCCCACCCACAGGAGATTTTGATTTTGTAGTCAGATAAGGGATTTGGGAATCTCTTTGTCCTTTGAATTTTGAAAATAATTTTGATGCATAGCTCAGGTTCTTGAAGGCCAAGGATGTTACCAAAACTTGATAAAGTTTTTGCCAGTCAGAAACCCAAACTGCCTGGTTAAATATTCTGACACTATTCTTTTAATGAGGACCTGTTTCTGGTAGAAAGTCCCATTTCTGCAGATGTTTAGATACATAGGTTTAAATTGTGAAATTTTCTTGAAATAGTGAAATTCTGTTGAAATTGAGATCTTCTTGAGCAGGACAAAAATGTTAAATAGATTTGGCCGATCAAACAATAGGTTATTCTCTTCCTAATGAATCCAACTGATGGTACCCCACTGATTTCTTTTGTCCAGCTACCTTCTACAACTTCCCTATTCAGAGAGTTCTTTTCTTCTTTCAAGCCATTTATGCAAAATAACTCCTTCACGGTGTATCTGAATTACTTAATTTCTAATGTTTCGTATAATTCTAGGATTTCTTGTAATACCAATTTTGGAGCTGGCAGGGGTCTTAGAGATTCATTAACTTGCCTTCTTCAATCTACAAAAAAATGAACACTTCTCAAAGGCCACAGGGCTAACAAATCATAGTGGGAGTTTAGTGTTCTGATTTTAATTTGGCTTGATTTAATTCTCCATACCACTTAGTCACCACTTTATATTTCAGCATTTTTATCTCCATATTACTATAGTTGATTCACTTTCCTTCTTACTTCTCTCATTTATGTTTATGTACTTCAGTTCATCCTGAATTTTATTATTTATTACATGACAACTTCTCATATTATCCACTTACAGTTTCTCAAAAAATGAGAATGGTCTGGTGATGTTACCTTTTTCTTTCATCGACCTTATCAACCAACAGCAGATTTTGTTCAGTAGAAAAGTCAAGTTCCCATTTTATGAGATGTTGCATCTTATTTTCTAAGGCTAGAGTTCATGGGAGAATTTTTATTCCAAATAATACTATTTCATGGTATTGATTTATGGTCAAGACGATTTCAAGATCTGATAATGTTGTTAAAAGGAACAACTCTGAGACTTGACCATTTCTACTCTCTCCTGCTCATAAGGCAGAACCATGGCAGGGTACTAGGAACAAAAACAAAGTGGTTAGCTACTAGGAAAACCATTCTAACCCATAATTCAAGACAGCACCAAGAGCATCATAGCAATGGGAGCCTGGGTTGGGTGCCCAAGAGACTGCCTTAGTTATGTCACTCTCTATATTTTTATATCTCTCTATATATCTTTATATTTTTTATGGCCAAAAGCTTAGTTATGTTTCTATCTTTAAGAAATTCTTAATCATAAAGCTTTTTCTCAAACAAACACACAAAAAACAGCAACAACAACAACAACAAAAACAACGGGAAAAAGCCTTATTGGTACCAGTAACCACTCTGAAAGAGGGGCTTGTATTCGATGGCTATCAGCATAAGGTTCATCTTCACAAAGCAGAGCCTAGGAAGGAAGACAGAGAGATAAGCAGGGTGCTAGTTTACAAGGCTATGACTAACCCTGTGTTCCATGCTGGGGAGAAAAGCAGTTTTCCAATCCTCCTGAAGGCACACTGAGCCAGTGTACCAACTAGGACTGACACAAAACTGTCCCTCATGCATCGTATCCTTGCAGGGACTCCAAGTTATTCATTCTTACATTTTCAGGGTTTGTCACGGACTCTGGCCTACAGTGAACCCTCCATGAACAGTGCTGAAAGAATGCTGTGGTGGGAAGAGTGTGGGAAAGTATTTCACTCAACTTACCGGGAAACCTCCGGAAAACTCATTCCAGCAAAGTCATCAGAGAGACGTTGAGTCAGGATTTTGTTCTTCAGGCTATTCAAGAAATATTTTTGCCAGGTCTGTTTAGGAGAAATCTGTAACACACAATCATGTCCCATGGAAGGTGTGTATACAGGTTGAATATATTTCTAAGCAGCAAACCAGTTTCCACAGAAAGGAGATATATTGTAAAGTACAATCGGACAAATGTTAAAGAAAGAACTGAAACAATTTTCACTAAAAAGTTCAGAAGGAGGAAGATACACCATGACTAATTTCCTTCCCAGACAGTGTCTTGTTATGGTTTGCAAATGAGAAGTCCCTCCTCAAAGCATCTGTTAATGCAAGAATATTCAGAGGTGAAATGATTAGACCTTGGGAGCTATAACCTAATGAGTACATCCTAGTTTGAATGACTGGCTGGTCACTGTAGGCAGGCGGGACATGACTGGAAAAGATGGGTCACTAGGGGGGTGCCCTAGAAGGGTGCATCTTTCTTATGACTCCTATATCCCCATCTCTCTGTGCTTCCTGATCTCTCCAGGAGCTGACCAGTTTTCTTCTGCTGGGTCCGTCTGCCCATGATGTGCTGCATCACCTTAGGCCCAGAGTAATGGAGCTGGGCAAAAATGAACTGAGACCTCTGAGACTGTAACCCCAAATAAACTTTTCCCCCTCTAAGTTGTTCTTGCCCAGTATTTTGGTCACAGCAAAAACAAAACAAATAAACAGACAAAAACAACAATAATTAAAAAAAAAAAAACCTATCTACAACAGCATTTGAGCCTCTGGTTGAGGATTAGAATTCTTCTCTCTGGTCCACTCCTAATTTCAGCACAGTGGTCTGTGTTTTTGAGTTAGTGACAACGATAAGATGGGAGCAATAATGAAGAATCTAAGTTTTCTCTCTCTGGAGGTGATTGTTTAGAACGAGTTTTGAAACATCTTGGTTTTCTGCTGATGAACCAGATACTACAAAGAAAAATAATCATGCCTTCTACCCAGAATAAGAATCCTTTATTGATTCAGATGAGTTCAAAGATACAGTTTGATGAATGGCAATAATAATATAAAAATCAAAGGTAGTAGTAGACTTCTAGACAATTGGGAGAGGTGAAGGGGAAGGTATGTCTTAATAAAGGCTGAATGTAGACTAAAGGGAGGTTGTTGAGTGACTCCTCCTGGACTTGGCGTGAGACCCTTCTTCATCCTTGCCACTTGCTGACATGAGAATTGCCACCACACTGTTCTCATAGATACAGCACAACAAGTCCCTCACAATCCAGAGTCTCAGATGAGAATCTGAATTTTCTATAGACTCTGGAGCATTTTCTCAATTTTTTTAATTGACTCTTTTTGTTACATAACTTTAAATTTCACTTTGATGTGATTATAAAAGCATGGAATAGACCTTGCTCTAATTCAGTCACCAGTACTTCCCTTTACCCTACCCTCCTCCTGCTCTCCTGATCTTTTTGCTATCTATCTATCTATCATCTATCTATCTATCTATCTATCTATCTATCTATCTATCTATCTATCTATCTAATTAGTATCTTGTGGATATACATGATGGTGAGATTCACTGTGGCACATTCTTATATGTAGATAAGAAAGTTAGGTCAGATTCATTTGGGAAAGGAAAAGCATTGGGCGGTGGGCGGGGGAGTTCAACTGAAATAACAGAAAGATCAGTAAAGACAGCAGAGCATTCTCACTGTGGAGAGTGATGGCCCCTTCAGAAATTCTCCTCGGATGGTCATCTTGTGGTTTGAAAACTGGCCTGCTAAGAAGGACTACTTATTTCAAATAACTCAGCACCTTGCCCTGACCCGCTTCCTCCACACCAAGATTCAGCTGACTCTTCCCATTTTCCAATCTCTTCAACTCCCCTCCTAAGGAGGGCTCCCTTCATTTGGCAGTTCACACCACCACTGAAGTCTAAATTACCAAGGAAGTTGGCTTGGTGCTTCCAACTTTTACAACCATGGAGATGGAGAAAACTTCCTGAGTTAAGAGATCAGGGAGGAGAGCAATAGGATTCTGGATAGAAGAATCCATGAGTTCAAGGCTCTGAACCTGTAACCAACTAGAAACAGTTTTCAGACTACAATTTCTCACAATATTAAACAAATAATTAAAACACATGCGATTGGTTTAATGTCTTCTAATCTGAGTACTCATAAGTTTTACAGACATTAATATTTGGAAAACTGAGATTGTGAAATTAATGATCCTCATTTTATTGATGGAAAAACTGACAGGGAAAGTATGTACCTAATTTGAGAAAAATGCGACATAAAACTTTGAAGTCCTGGTACTAAACCAAAGTCAATGGGTGTGTAACAGACTCTAAAGCACCAGGGTGGAGTATAGCTTTAAATCTTGCCCTGATTCTGTCCAGTTTAGGATTTTTGAATTTTTGAAGGAGTTTCAGACTTTATTTTATATATATATATATACATATTTTATATATATATATGTATAATATACATACATACATGTTTGTATGTGTATATATATGTGTTTGTGCATATATATACACACACATTTACACATATTTTATGTATATGTATAATATACATACATAGTGTGTGTATGTGTATATACATATGTGTGTGTGTGTGTGTCTATATATATATATATTTATCAAAGCTTATTTCCTACTGCCTGTTGGTCATCTCTGTCCTAATGGGCATCTACCCACCCTTTTTAAATACTACTAGGGATTGAACCCAGGGTGCTCTATCACTGAATTTCATCTCCTACCATTTTTCTTTCTTAATTTATTCTTAAATTTTGAAACAGCATATTGCTAAGTTGTTGAAAGCCTTGATAAATTGATGAAGTTGTCCTCAAACTTGTCATCCTCCTGCCTTAGCCTGCTGAATTGCTGGGTTTGTGCCACTTTGCCAGGTGGTTATCTCTTTTTGTCTGTATATTAGATTTGTTTATGTTTATAGAAGGAATTTCAGAATATTTGTTTCAGTTAGCATTTTGCTAGCTATTGGATCTTTTACCTTTTTTTTTTTTTTGCTTTTCCTTAATAGCACTGGGAAAGAATAGGAAAAGATGCAAAAATCTGTATTTAACAGAGGAAATAATTCCCAAAAGGTGGCCAAGAAGGAAATGGGGTATACAAAATAGCAGATCTGAATTCAGAATTAAATGGACAGAAAAGTCACTCTCAGGAAGGCTTCTGGAATACCAGGCCCAGTCCAGGGTTTGAACTCTTCTCTTGGAGCATTGCATCAGAATGGCATTTGGATGATATTTAAGTCAACTTTCCAAAGTGTCCAAAGGGAATGAGAAGAACAACTTAGAGGAGGAAAAGTTTATTTTGGTTCATGGTTTCGGAGGTTCAGTCCTTGGTGCACTGACTCCATTGCTCTGGGCCCAAGGTGAGTCAGAGAATCTTGGCCAATTGGCTTGGTGGAAGAAAGCGGCTCAGGACATGGAAACCAGGAAGCAAAGAGAGAGGGGGCTTCCCTCACTGGAGATAAAATATAAACCCCAAAGGCATGCCTTCTAGTGACCTACCTGCCTGCAGTTACCATTAATATATTATTAATGGATTAATCCACTGATTAGTTTACAACTATAAAAATCTAATCATTTCACCTCTGAACATACTTGCATCGTCACACACATGAGTTTTGGGGAGATACCTCATATCTAAACTATAACAGATGACAACACTTTGTGCTGTAGAAGTTCATCCCAACAGTCCCTCTTAGGCCTTTACTTTGTCTCAGGAAAAGATATCAAAGGCATGATGTGGAAGACCATGGGTGGATACCCAATAGTAGAGGCAAAGGGCATAATGGCAAGATTGTGGATCCAGGAATTCTTGGTCTCCTTTTCACTAATTAACTATACAATCAACTTAGTTAGCTTCACAATCCACTGCTAGGATATACATTAACATATCCCTGAGGGGAAACAACACACACAGTAAGTACTCATCAGTGATTATTGTTTTTACTACTGCAGGGACTTTCCCAAAATAATCTGGAAAATTAGATTTTAGTTATTATTTGTATCATATATATTTTATTAACATAAATTATTATATTATTCGTATTTTATTTAAATTTAAATATGACTTCTCTGCTAGTAATAGGATATTTATTTTTCTACCTTCCATAACTCAATGTGCTTCCAAAGTGTTGAATGAATTTACATTGATAACATTCTGAAATGTAGGGAAGAAGAATTATGATTTATGTTTGCAAATAAATACTACAGAAATAAGACAAGTGACTTCTTTAAGACCAAAGAAGAACCTGGAACTTCAGTCTAGATCTCTCAATCTCTTCTCAGCTCAAGCATAAATCAAATCTCGTTTATTGGGGACTTACTTCTTGCTTTCCTCAATTTTTTTTTCTATTTGTGACCCTAATATGTGGGACATGGGAAAGGAGTCAAGATTCAACATCAATTTATAAAGTTACCTTTTTGTTTTGCTCAACAAATAAAGACGTTAGAAAGGTACACAAGCCTGGCACCAGACAGCCTTGAGCCATAAATCCAAGCTTTAATTCAGCAAAACAGATGATGTTGTCTCCAGTACTCCAGTTCCAGCTGGGAATCTTTGGCAGGAAATCCTGTTTCATGGTAGAAAGTAAGTCAAGCATTAAGAATACACACATACCTCAATAAAGCTCTTGGCAGATTTTATTTAATTTTCCTTGAAATCATTTACTCTTCATTCTTGGGAATAAATGTGGTGCTCAGGTCAAGGAATTATAAGAATAATTGGAAAAGTGGTTAGTGTTTAATTGCTCTTACTTTTCAAGACAAAAATAGCTGGAGTTGCAAAATTAGGTCAGATGGCTTAAGGTAATTCTGATTCCCATTGACATCTTTAAGTGATCAACAATCTTAATCATACACCAAATTTCACCTATGATTGGTAAATATTTTCTAATTTGTAGATCCATTAGATGGTAATAGGGTTCACGTCGTCTCACAGACCCAGTAGGAAGAGGTTGAGCGTTCAGGAGTGTCACTTTACCTTGTTATGGGACTGAAGGATTTGTATGATGACTCTAGTCTTTGGGTAATAGTTTTTGATAGAGAGCACCCTGCAAAAGCCACAATTACTCTCATTAGTGAGCTGTCATATTGACTCTGAATTATAATTCAAATAAGTTAAAATGTCAGGTGGGTACTTTAGGAAAACTTAGTATATTACAAAATTCAGTGTTCTGTTATTTCCTAAATTTGTTCTATTTAATAGCATGCACAGAAGAGTGCCATATTTGGGTGGCTAAGTAAATCAAATCTATAAAAATGTCAGTGCTTGGAAAGAGAAGACTATGGTCTTCTGGAACAAGTTCTTGGGAGAAAATAAACACATCCTTTAGCCTTTAAACCCAAACACAGTAATTACAGAAAAAAAAAACAGATTTATTTGCTATTTATAGTTTGAATAGCTCATAGAACATCTACTTCAACTTTCTCATTTTATGAATTAGGAAACTAAGATTTATTTTATATGCAGTGTATTATGCATGGTGCAAGTTCTCAGCTTTTTATTGCTGTGTGCAGAGGCATCTTCAGCTATGTGTATTTATTTTGCTTTGGGGACTGGAAGTGCATGTGGATTAGGCACTATACCATTGCCCTCACAATCAGTTGAATCTCTGCCAGCACAAGTCAAGTTCCTCCTCATCTCATATAAGCTCATAGTGAAAAGATAGAAACACTCTATGCATCCCTAAAAATATTTGTCAATATTCACAAGCACATCACACTGAACTGAAGGGAAGTCCTAATAAATAAAGCGTATTAATAGTATTCATAAATGGGAATCTTTGCTTTTGAGGAGGAGAGACTGTATCATAACAGTGCTGTCTAAACAGTAATCAGTTATTTGTATGCTTGCTTTTTAAATTCAGATAGCTAATAACCATGTGAAGTACCAGGCACAGGACAGCCTATGCAGGGGGGATGGAGAGTTCAAGGCCAGTCTCAGCAACTCAGGGAGGCTCTGTCTCTAAATAATAAAATAAAAAGGCATTGGAGATATTGCTCAGTTGTTAAGTGCTCCTGTAGGTCCAATCCCCAATATATATATATATCCTGTTTAGTCCTGTGCCCTGCAATTTGTTTTAATAGAAGTAGAACAATATCAAGATTAGAACATAATGCCAGCTTCTTACCTCATAATATTTGAAGTGTCCTCAGCATGTAAATCACTGCACAAGGGGTTGGCTATAATCAGGCATGCTTCTGCAGACTCCACCTACTCTTCCAGATTAAACAGCAACTGTCTTGTTAATTATGTGGGAAATATTCTACTGCTCCCCTCCCCACTTTTTTATATTGTAATCATAAATTTGCCAATGAGAAAGAGAACACACGTGAGAAGGAATTTTAATAAGGCTGCCTTTATATCAGGATCACACAAATGCTGCAGATCTCAGAGGACTCCAGTTGATGGACCAGATCACAGGGTCTCTAATGCAGATGTAAGATTGATTTAAAGTGGGTTAAGTACAAAGCTGTGCTTTTCCTGCCATCATCACCATTGTTTTATGTCTTGTGATGAGCAGTGAGACTTTTCCAGCAACTGCTTGTATATTTATTTACCTTTTAAGACAGCTGAGATGGAAATCTTAAGATTCTAGGAAATTATTGAAAATGGTGCTTATAATATGGAATGGTAAGAGAGATAAAGGTTACATGGTATCTGTCATTTTTCTGATTCAAGTGTTTATACTTGTTTTGCTTTAAACTGAAAAGTGTTGGTTTATCAGGTCTATGAAACTTAGAACATATTAGGAAGCTGGCTTTTACCTAAAACCAAACCTAATTAAAGGGTCAGCTATTGCTCCTTACTTACAGTCACTATCTTAATGGGGTTTCTGCTGTTTTCCTTCATGCTTCTATAAGAAAGTGTATTAGGATGCTTTGGAGAAGTTGGTTAAAGCTGATAGATTCTTTTGTTTTCTTTATTGGTTCTTTTGAGTTATACATGACAGTAGGATTCATTTTGACATAATTATAAAAGCATGGAATATAATTTGTTCTTATTCAGTCCCCAGCACATCCCCTTCTTTCCTTCTGCCCGCTGTTCCCTTCCCTCTGTCCTACTGATGTTTTTGACATTTACTTACTTATAGTTTTTTTTTAAATTAGTGTCTTGTGTGTGTACGTGATGGTGAGATTCATTATGGTATGTTTATGTATGTGCATGGGAAAATTAGGTTAGATTCATTCACCTGTCTTTCCTCATCCCATCTCTCCTCCCTTTCTTTCACTCCTCTTTGTCTATTCCACTGATATTTCTTGTATTCTGTTCTTTATCCCACCCCCAGCTTATTTTGGATTAGCTTCTGCATAACAGATAAAACATTCAACCTTTACTAATCTGTCTTCTGGTAAGAATCCTCCTTGGGTGGTAAGATAGAACACTTTTGCTATTCATAACTTTTTCAGATCTCAGAAACTTGTAAAACTATCCTAGATAACTTAGTGAAATAATTAAATGTAAGTATCTGGAATAATAGCTGTTGAAGTAGCAGTGTACACTTATCATCTTAAATGTTGTGGTTTAGGGAAACAAGAAGGAAAAGAACAAAATCTTACCGCAACTCGCCTCAGATCCTCCCACTTCAGTGCAGACCCAGAGATAAAAGTTGTATAGGCCAAGTAGCATTTAAATATAGTCTCCAATTCCAAAGAAGGAGTGACTCTGGTTAAAAAATATGTGGTGACAAAGATGGGAAAAAGATGACTGGCTTAGTTTTAGAGGTTGTTGAACTTATTTAGTGCATTTACTAGAACCCTAATTTCCTCTTGGAAAACATCCATCTTTCATTATTAACCCATGTGATTAGGTGATGCTAACACAAACTACCTAATTCCAGAGGCCAAGTCTATAGCTCAGGCCTAAGCAATCAGTGATGTGAGAAAATACAAATCAAGGTAGTGTCATAGAAACAATAAATAAATTAATAAGTATGAAAAAGTTTACTATGTAATCTAAGATTTCAAAAGATATAACATTTTAAAACAAATGTGAATTTCATATAATGTTTTCTAAATATATAAAGCAAAAATAGACAAAGTCAGAGGGAGAAATTAAATCTGCCAATGTCATGAGTAATTTCAACAAGTCTCTCCCAGTTTTTGACAGATCAAGCAGGAAAAAAAATCATCAAGTATTTTGAACACAATAGTTTTATATTTATTAATCCTATAATCAACACATAGAAAACTTGATATTTTCAAGGACACAAAAATACTTTAAAATGATAATAAGTTGATAAAAAACACTTCAATACATTACAAAAATGTTACTGTACATATTATGATCTGTGACCTGAATATATTTAATTTATAAGTTAAAAATCATAAAAGAAATAAAAACTTTCTTCTTATTTAAAAATTAACTGATAAAAATTTTGCAGGTTAAGAAGAAATTAAAATCTTTTTAAAAATTATTCTTAGAAATAAATTGTGTTGAAAATATTAAACATAAATGCCATTGGATAAAATAATAACAGTTCTTTAGGGGAAATGTATAGTTTTAGACACTAACATTAGAATAAACTCAGAGAAGATCAACAAAGTCAAAAGTTGCTTCTTTGAAAAATAACCTAATGTTACAGGCAAAAATGATAAAACAAATGGAGAAAAAAGAAAAGACAAAAATGGCTTATAAATTGAATGAAGAAGACATCATATATATAGGTAAAGTAAATGTCATAAGAAATTAAATAAATTATACACATAGGATTGAAAAGAAGTAAATGAACTGCCTTTATTTGGAATGATTTATTTGATAATTTACACTGAAGCACCTAATACTAGTACAGAAAAATTAAAAATGATAGAGAAATTTATGTGTATTAATATACAAAAGTCAATTAGGTTTTTCTATATCATATATACACACATACATTTACGTACATAATTGTATGCATATGCTCTCTACCTATAAAACCACCCCATATTATTAAGAGACAATACATGAAAGCTAAATAAATGGATAGCCACAGTACTATTAGACTTGCAAAGAGTGTAGCATAAAGAAATCAATACTGAATTCTAAAGTTTTAGTCAGATTCACATCACATTTCTACATTTTTTAATAGTACACAATAAAGCTATTATAAAAGTTATATGAAAGATAATGCCCAAGAAAAGCTTGTCAGCTGTTATAGAAAATGAAAGGAATAAAGAAAGGATAGAAGTCTCACCATAAGATCTTCAGCAATAAAAACATTTATTACTAATGAAAATATAGACAAATTGATAAGATAGAAAGAAAAGACAAGACCTATTCACAGTAGTATCAAGTCAGATCCCTGAGTAGGCAAAGGCTTTGTTCAATAACTGGCATTGGCAAAGAAACAAGTAAGATTTTATGCATGTATCTTACCATATAAAAATGCAATTCTTATGAAATTGGTAACTTAAATGAGGATTTTAAAAAAATTCTTAGGGGAAATTTCATTTAAATGTAACTAAAATATTAGAATAAGAAAATATTTTCTAGACAAAATAAAAAAATGTCAAATATGAAAAATTGTGAATTTGACTATAATAATATTAATGATTTTTAAATATCAAAGATATTATAATTGGTGAAAAAAGAAGTTTCAAACTGGAAGAAGATATTTGTAAGTTGTATAACTGATGAAGAATTACTGCAAAAATTACACAATTCTACAAAATAAATTATAACCCCCCCAAAAAAAATCAAGTAGAAAAGTGGACAAAACAATAAATGGAATTAAAAACTCAATGGATGGGTTTGTAAATAGATTAAACACAGATAAAAAGACAATTAGAGAACTGGAACCTAGGTCAGAATAAAGTATCCAGAGATACAAAAATTTTAAAAAATGAGACATAAATATAAAAGGGAAATATATTTGAAACAGCAAAAAATTTAAATGAGAAATAAATATAAAATGGAAATATATTTGAAAAAGCAAAGCATAAAAGACAAGCATAGCTAGATTTAAGAGTCCCAGAAGTGAGAGGAGAAAATGGTGACATAGCTAATACTTAAATAAATAATTGAGAATCTTCCAAAAGTGATGAAGACACCAGTCCAGAGATACAGGAAGATTTATGAATGCTAATCATGATAAATGAAGAGAAAATCAAACCCATACACATCAAGGTACTTTCCATAGTAAGTAAAACACATGATCTTCTAAGAAGATAGCTCCTTAAAGAGAGAGTTCAACTGACTTCCTAATAGCAACAATAAAATACAGAAATCAATGGAATAATAATTCCATGGTTCTTAAAGAAAAAAACTGTCAGTTTATAATTCTATATCCATGAAATTATCTTTCAGTAATCAAGAGAGAAATAATAAATCATTACATCACCATCATCATCATCAACAAAAATTTGTTACTGGAAGACTTGAATTTAAGAAAAATGTAAAGGTTTTATTTTTGATAAGAATAAAAATGGGAAGGAAGATCAGAGATGCAAGAAGAAATAGAAAACAATTAAACAGGGTAAATTTAATGAAAAGTAGCATAGAGCCATGAATTGATAACTTTTTTGGACATTAAATAAGTAGAATCATGTATATAATTTACAAAGGTTTATACCACACATTATCTTACATAAATAAGAAAAAGACTACAAATTCAAGAGAAAAAAATGGAGAAGAAAACAATAATTTCACTTCAGAGATTCTATATGACTTAGAAATATGGAAATATGCTTGGCCTCATTAATAAGAAGAAAACTTAAATAAAAACCATAACAATAGACCATCATTTTATAAAATAATATTCACAAGAATGGCTAAAGATTTTTTTTAGCATGTGACAATTAAATATAGTGTTCCAGTTCCAAGTGTTGGTAAGATGCAGGACAACAGCAATTTCTGTGGTTGCTGGAGGAAATACAGATTGGCAAAAACATTCTGCAGAAGATTGTGTTACAGAAAGATATTTAAGCTTTATATTTTGCAATTTTATTCCTGGTTAACAGGACACAAATATGAGAATTTCCACAGCACTATTTTTCATAACAGCAAAAATATGTTGGGACTTAGGGGAGGAGAATGCCACCCATGGTATAGTGGATCCAGAAAAATTGCAGTGTATTCATATAATGGAGTCATGTAGTACTAAGCAATGAAAATAAGTGTAGCCCTATCTAGTTGCCATGTGGATGAAACTTACAGATATAATGTTGAGCAAGTAAATTTATAACCTATTTACATGTTTTCAAAAAAGAAAAAAATATTCTAAGTGAACATAGAGATGTGACAATTAAATATTATAAGATATAATGTTGGAAATGTAATTTGAGGACTAGCGATGGGGTTGTAATTGGACAGCATCATGATGGTTAACTATCAAGGGAATAATTCTTGATTTGAGTGGTAGTTACATGAATATTCACTTTATAGTTATGCATTTAAAAATATATCTTAATTCTATGTAATAAAAGCAGCATGATATTGGCACCAAAACAGGCATGAAGACTGATGGAATAGAATACAAGACACAGAGATAAATGCATATAAATACAGTTATCTCATATTAGACAAAGGTACCCCAAACTGGAGACAATCAGCTAAGTGAAATAAGCCAATACTAATAGACCAAAGGCCAAATGTTCTCTCTGATATATGGATGCTGACACACAATGGGAGTGGGGGTGGAGGAGTGGGAATAGAAGTTTATTGGATTGGACAAAGGGAAATGATGGAAGGGAGGGAATGATGGGAATAGCCAGTAGAATGAATTGGACATAACTCTCCTATGTTCAAATATGAATACATGACTAGTGTAACTCCACATCATGCACAACCACAAGAATGGGAAATTATATTCCATGTATGTATAATATGTCAAAATACACTCTACTGTCATGTATATGAAAGTATTCTAAAAAGAACAAAATTTTTAAAGGCACCAAAAACATACTTTGGAGAAAAGATAGCCTCTTCAAAAAATGGTGCTGGGGAGACACCCGTGGAAGCCTAGCCTCTGGCACAGGACCACCTCTTCCAACCAGCAGACTACCAGGGGAGCCCAGGCCCAGCCCAGATCTGACCATACTTACTTGCTCAGGACCCAGGTAAAGGCTAGGTCTGAGTTTGCTGCCAACTCCCCCACATCTGGGAGCCTAAGCCTAACCCACTCCCATCTTGGGATACAGCTGTCATCACCAGAGCCTTCTTCATGCCGTAGCCCCTAAATTTTTGACAACAGACAGGGCCTAGAAGCAGCTACATCTCAGAGCAGGCATCCAAAAGGGACTGTGAGACCCACCCTTTCAGTCCCATCTATGTAACAGATTGCTTCCATCTTGGGGCACGTTAACTATTATCTCAAGTTACCTCGGCTATTGCCACCACCACCTTTAGATTCTGTAGCATACACTGAAGGACACCAGCAGAGTCTAGAAGCTCAACATCAAGGAGAGGTACAGACAATCTGTACAGGTACTACAAGAATATAAGGAAGAAACTGTAATATCTCAGATACACACTGCAAGAAAGGAAGACACATAGACAACATGAAGAAACAAGGGAGGAAAGTTCCCCAAACAAACCAGGATACTATAATAACAGAACCCATGAACAGAAAAGTTGATGAAATGTCAGGGAAGAACTTCAGAAGGTTCATAATTAAAATTATCTGTGAATTAAAGAATGACCTAAATGAGCAATTACAGGCAAAAATTGATCACTCCAACAAGGAG